GTCACTGTCTTTTGATAACCTTGATTGTCCTGACCTGCAGCTGACCATGGGTGCAGTAATTGTGGAAGAAATTAGGGTGGCTGTAGAAGCAGCCACCGGATTCCGGTGTTCAGCTGGGATTTCACACAATAAGGTATGTGTGTAACGCATCAGCCTGATTCCTTCTGAGTAGCAGAGTCAGAACGTGCTTTAGACGCTTTCCTATAGACTCTGCCAAGCCTCCTATAGAACATGAGCTGAGTGGAGAATGCAGCCATGTGGGAGCACACCTTGAGGGAAGTTATAGGACAGATTGGAAGGCGAGGAGACTTTTTTTTCCAAGAGATGTGGCCTATGCAGTCAGCACTTGGTTAATTTACTGCCTGGATTCCTGGTGTACCCTAACGAGTTAGCTCACTAGGAGGAAAATGGTTTTAAGTCTTCCAGAAGAGTTTTCTTGAGGAAAAAATAGATCTTAAAGAAACCTCCACATTGATTTTTAGGCAACAGTGGCTGTAGCCAGGAAATAGTTTTTACTGATGCAAGTTCTGAGAGACTTGGAGGAAGGAGAATACCAGTTTGGGGCACTGAGGTGAGTCAGGTTGCTTTTCCTTTTTCTGGTCACTCAATCTTTACAGGTGCTGGCCGCGCTTTGGGTGATGCTCGGCTAGCTGCTGAGAGCAGCCACCGGAGCACTTGGTGCATGACAGCAGCTGCAGAAACAAACGGACTTTGGTCAGCAGGGTGGTGTACTGAGAGCACCTAGCAGTAGTTTTGTTCTTTGTAAAAGGGGCTTATCTGTATGGTTATGACTTAAAAAAAGTTCTGAGTACAAAAATAAGAAAATAATTAGGACTAAATGGATGCTTTGGAACTTAAGGAAGATAAACTTCATCTTAGACTGCTGCAGAAACAACTGTAACTATTATCAGCTGTACACAGGTACTGGAGCTAGTTCTGCACCAGCTCACCTTGAAACTAGAGCAGACTGTGAGGCAGGAATGAGCTAGCTGAGCAAGATCACCGGTATAGAAATTTCCAAGTGGAAGGGATGTTCAGTTTGCCTTTCTGTTCTCTTTAATCAAGAATAACAGAGAACATCCCTGCAATCCCTAGGAGCTTATCCCAGCTTCCATTTTCTATTACTGGATTGACTGATTGATTGATTGATTTATTATTTTCTTTAAGGGACTAAGGAAATAATGATATACTGTGCTGTCCCTGAAGAGTTTTATATCCATACCAGCAAGCACAATGCAGAGATTACCAGAACCTACAGGTGGCTGTGCAGAACATACTTCCACAGCCAGCTTACCTCTGTAGTTGCAAACCTTTTCTGCAAAGAATTAAAATGAGTGCTAGGTGCGATCAGTAAACCACCCTGCATCTCACACAGCAGGAAACCTTTTATAGCTGCAGCATCAAAGACTTGTTTGTGTCTGCAGCTGCTGTCATGCACCAAGTGCTCCTGTGGCTGCTCTCAGCAGCTGGCTAAGCATGCCCCAAACTGGTATTCTTCTTCCTCCAAGTTGCTGGGATTATTTGTCAATAAAAACTATTCTTTGGCTACAGGTGCTGTTGCCTAAAACTCAGGGTGGAGGTTACCTGCTTTAAGCTCCTGTTTTTTCTAAGGAAAACTCTCCTGAGGGGTTTTTCTTCCTAGTGAGCTAATTTGTTAGAGTATGCCAGGAACTCGTCTCATAAATGAAACCAAATAATTGAATGAGGTCTTTGGAAGCATCTGGAGGATGCATGGATTTATCAAGAACCGCTGGTGCCGAACTTGTTTATGTGCCCTCTTTGACAGCATAAATGGCCTAACTTACAGGGGAAACTGCAGATGTGAGGTGTTGACCTTAAGGTTTCAAACGTACCTCACCCTGAGTCACATAAGCTGATGGTGACACATGAGCGAAACACAACACAACTGAGGTTATCTGAAAGACTTGCATCTAGCTGAAGAAAATACTGTTTTCCATAATGATTTGGTTCAGCGAGTATACTTGAACTGGGATGTTTAGAGTGGGTTCCGTCTGAGGTCTGCCAAGAGCCAATATTTTCACTGAAGCCTATGGAGAGGGAACAGCTGTGGAAATACAGGTGATGCTAGGTACAGATGGAGTTCAGGGTGTGAGAGTTCTGGGAGATGAAATTAGAGCTGAAAATTCTGGGCTTGGAAAAGCCCAGAAACAGTCTGAAGTCACCAAGCAGTGCTTTTTATGCTCCTCACCGTCTGTTTTTGTGGTTAGTAGGAAAAAAAGCAACCGGCAGGCTTTTGGTTAATTCACAGTAAATCAGGAAGGAGCCTGGAGTTATTGTGGATAAGCCGCAGAATGAGTCAGTCATACAAGTGCTCTTGTGGAAATGGCAAAGCCTGCTTCAGCATGTGCAGATTAGTGAAGGTGTCAGAAAAAGTAAATTGTTTCTCCCCATGAAGTCTTGGTAGCTGGTCCAGCTTGCAGCACTTTATGAACACTGTGGGTAAGCTTGGAAGTGAAACAAGAAGAGCTGAACATCTGGAAAATGACTGGATATGAAAAGTTGAAGGGATCTTTGTCTAGAGAAGAGGGAGAATGTAGATAAATCTGTAGAAGAGGCTGTTAACAAATGTCATAGCTCAATAGGCAGGAAATAAATTTTGCTTAGTTACAGGACGTGTGGTCAAGCAGTGAAAGAGGAAGTTATGAGACTTATTAAAAAAAATCCCAAATGCTTGGCTAAACTTAATTCAAGGTGGTTTGCGTATTCCTGATCCTGTAGTAGATTTAGAGCGGGAGGAGGAGCTGTAGAGCAGATAGGCTAGTGAACATCCCTTCCAGGCTAGAAATTTTGTATTTTGCAGATTTGCTTTTGCAGCATTATGTTGCTGTCGACCTCGCAGAGAGACAGTTAAAATACTGACATTGAAAAAATCAAGACAAACACAGAAGATGAAGGAACAAGATATTGTGAGAGAAAATAGCCCGGAGAAGGATTATGGGGATGCTCTGAAAGCTCTAGCATGCTCGCCTGATGGAAAACTAAGCCAGCCAGAACAGGTGATAGACCCAGATTCCCTAAGCTGTGTGGAGCGGGAGTCCAGCCCTTTGCAGAGCTGGAAGTCTTGGAAGCAGCAGTGCTTTCAGAGCACCCAGCCAGTGCATGCCAGGGTACTACTAGGGGAGCAAGCAACGGTGCAACCTGCACATCCTTCCTAGCAGCTATTCCAAAGGCAACTCTTAGAGGTGATACTGCACAAGTTGTTAGGTAGAGTCACAGCCAAGTCAGTGCAAAGTTTGTAATAACAGTGTTTCCTCCCTCTCCTGTGTTACAGACACTGGCAAAACTGGCCTGTGGGTTAAACAAGCCCAACCGCCAGACGCTGGTATCTTCGCGATTTGTCCCACAGCTCTTCAGCCAACTGCCCATCAGCAATATGTAAGTACTGGGGAGCTGCCTGCTTTCATGCAGCATGAGGCTTAGGCTGAGCTGCTCTGTGGCAAGAGCATGTATTGGAAATGCTGGTGCTGTGCTTCTGCAATCCAAGCTTTTATCAGGAAGAGCGCCCTGTTTGTCTTCATTGTCATGGTACTTGCTTCTGTTGGTTTGTCATCATTGCTTGTGTGAGCAGAACTAAAGTGACTTGGGGGTAGGAAACTGTTCCTTGGCCACCTCAACAGAGAACAATTTTATGGTAATTGATAGCAGCCAACAAAGGCTTTCATCTCCACAGTAACTGCTCATGAGTGCTAGTGGCAAACAGTGTGGAAATCCTGCCAGTAATCCCTCGCGTCTGTGAGCTGCAGTTCGGGAGGAGCATGCTTGGGAGCTGCAGCACTGCCAGTGAAGGGACCATACTTGAAGAGCCCACGAGCATCCTGCAGGCAGCCTTTCCCTGGGCAGAACTGTGCTCAGGATAACGGCTGGGGCGCACAGGTGTAAGCTAGGAGCAAATGTGAGCAAGGAGGCCATAGCTGTGCTTCAGTGTGAGTGACAGAGCTGTGCTCCCAGAGAGCAGATGCGGTTTGGTCTTCAGCATTCATACAGTGCACAAGTACTTTTTCTGCTGCAGGGAAGAGTTATCAGGACCGCTGCTCCAGAGGAAGGAATCCCTGGTCTTGCTCTCCAGACCTGCGTGGCTGCTCTCTGCCTTTTGTGTCTCACTGAGGATGGAGAGGTGGGAGTGTGGGGAAAGGTCCTGTCTGTGTAGGAGGAAGCAGGAAGTGTGTGGGGCATTCTTCAGAGCATGGTTTGGGATCACATTTTGAAGGCAGAGCTGAGGGAGAAGCACTGAAACTGTGAGCCAAGGAGCAGTTCCCACTTCCAACTCCTATGTGTCCTTCTGCTATGAGAAGAAAAGCTGTTGTGTACCAAGTGTTTCCTTTTGTCCTGCTAGTTCCTGACTGCTTATAGCTGTCCTCATCTAGGGACAGCTGCTGCAAGATGACTTGGCATAGTCTCCAGATGATGCTTCATTTGTGCTTTCTATTTTTCTTTCTTTCTCTGCTGTAGCCGTAACCTGGGAGGCAAGCTTGGCACTGCCATCACAGACATCCTGGGAATAGAGTACATGGGGCAGCTGACACAGTTCAGTGAGACAGAGCTCCAGACTCACTTTGGAGACAAAACTGGGTAATGATAAACCACTCACCACAACTTGGCTCTTGGGAGGAACTGAGGCTTCCTTCTGGTCACAGGTTGTTCTGCTGTGATTAGAAAGGTTGGAAGGTAAAACTCTTCATGACATCTTTGAGAAGCATTGGTCTGGCAGGCCCACAAACAGGTTTCCAGTCTTGCCTGCTTCCAGGCACCATCCTCTGGATAATGTTTTGCCTGTCAGCCAGCTCCTCTGCCTTCCTCTACAGGATGCGGTCAAGCTGTGGAAGAGCTCCCTGCAGGCTGGGAAGCAGGCCAGCCTGGCAGTTTTATTACAGAGGAAATTACAAGGCTGAACTGGAGCCTGAAACATCATTTCTGGGCCTAGAGCAGTGGTTGGGGTGCCCTGCAGACTGGTGAACTGTTGCCGCTTCAGAGGAAGCGGTGGCGGAGTTGTGCTGTCAGGCAGTTGTGGCCTGAAGGAAGGCTGCCTGTTCAGCTGCGGCTGCAACTGCAGAGCTGGGGATGAGAGGCAGCGTCACAGCCTGCACAGAGCTGAAAGCGTAGCTCAGCAGAAGGCTGACTTGCTGCCCAGTGATGCCTGCCTGTCTGTGGCTGCCTTCACCTCATGCTTCCTCTGTGGCTTTCAGTTCCTGGCTCTATGACTTGTGCAGAGGAATTGAAGATGAACCCGTGAAAAACCGATACTTGCCCCAGTCCATTGGGTGCAGCAAGAACTTTCCTGGGAGGACAGCTCTGGCCACGCAGAAGGAGGTAGGAGAAGCCTACACCTAGCACAAGGCTCGGCCTTCCCACTGGAGAAGATGAGAACACTAAAGCTGAAACTAGTTTGCAAAACTGCTGCTTTTCTGTGTCACAGTGCCCTGAAATGCAGCCTTGGGGCTTAGTGGGAGGAGGTGGTTTGACAGAAATTGACAGTTGTGACAGAAATCCTCTTTTGACAGAAACGCATTGATGAACTCCTGCACAAAGAGGTCCAGCCTTGTTGTAATTTCCACAAGCCAAACTGTGGGCCTGTGCTGTTAAAAAGGTATTAGTAGTGTCAAGGTTCAAGAGCTTGGTTGCTAGAAAGAGGGTGACTAGCCCAAAGAAAGAGAGAGGATCTACCTTACCTATTAGCTGTGGAGAGGTTCCCACAGGGCTATAGGGAGATGCAAAGAGAGATCCAGGGCAGAGGACCCAGATTACTTGGCAGAGTCTAGTAGTAATGCTGCAGGACTTAAATGTATCTGTAGTGCCCTGCCCCCAGTGTTGAATCCTCACGTGGGCTGATTGCTGCAGGAGTACTCCACATCTGGGGCCTTGTGATAGTGTGTGTCCATTCCAGTCTGATTCTGTTCCAGCATTGCCCCGTGTGCGGAGTGTTGCGCTGGCCTGGTGGCAGCACTGTGAGCAGAGGCCCAACCTATCTGTTATGCTGTTTTGTCCAGGTACAGCACTGGCTCCTGCAGCTGGCCTTGGAGCTGGAGTCCAGACTGATCAAGGACAGGAGCCAGGTAAGGAGAGGCACAGGGACAGCGTTCTCCCCACCGGCCTTCAGGAAGCCTCATGTCACGTCTGCACCATGAGCTGTTTGCAGGAGGCCGAGGGTGGTGGGTGGCAGGGGAGGAACTCTGCTTGCCCTCAGCTGTGTGCCTGTGTGCTGAGGTGCCTCAAGCAGAGAGACGTGCAGGAGCACGGCTGAGAAGGATGGTTTTGCCCCAGAACACTGCAGGACTAAGGATGGTCCTTGTCCCATGCTTTAGGATGCAGGGACATGAAAGCTGCTGCTCCCTTGCAAGGTCTTTGCTGATGCAGCTCTGCTTGTGCTGTGGGCTGTGAGAGGAAGCAATACGCTCAAATCCAGATGGCAGACTGCAGGCCAGGGCGAGACTAATCTGTCAGCTTCATTGCTGCAGGGGGAGCAGGAGAAGGTGCACAGCTGCCTTTGAAGGAAAGCAAGGAGTAACTGCTTACTGTTCTGTGTGGCACAGCTCTGTATCTAATCCCTCAGAGATCAGGACAAGCTGCTATCAGTCACACGGCATCATCGGAAGGTGGTAGCTGGGTGGAAGCTGAGCAGCGAGACGGTGTTCTCGGCCTTTCTCTCCTGCTCTTTCCAGCAGGTGTCGCTTGAAACACAGCTGCCTCTTCTCTCTGCAGAACCACCGAGTGGCCAAGCAGCTGATGGTGGTCATCCGCATGCAGGGAGACACTCGGGTGTCGCGCTTTTGCGCTCTGTCCCGCTATGATGCCCAAAAGATGTGCAACGACGCCTTTGCCCTCATCCAAAACTGCAACGAAGCTGGGACTCACCAGGCCGCCTGGTGAGTGTGTTCACGTCCCTGTCGGGGGTTGCTCTGCTGTGGGAGGTGCAGGATGAGCCAGGGACCTGACAGAAAGGAAGAATGTTACGCCAGCTGGCAGGAAAAGTGATCCCCAGCACACGGGGAGTGTGGCGACCTCCACTTGTTAGTGGTAGGGCAGCTGGGAGAGCCTGGCCTCTTCCTAGCCCCGCATCTGGCGAAGCACTTCCGACTTCTGTACTTGGAGCAGATGATTGCTTCTGGCAGGGAGGTGTCCAGCTGGAGCCCTGCCAGGCTAGAGAAGCTAGCTAGGCCTTGCTTGTCTCTCCTAAGGACGAAGGTGCTTTTTGGGAGGAGGCCGTTGGGGCGAGAAGGAAAACTAAGGTGCAGAGCTCCCATATTCAGCATGACTTCCTTCCTTCCTCCTGCTCTGCAGTGAGGCCTGAGGCATAATTAAGGCAAGAAGGTCCTGCCTGTTGGGCTCCAGGAAGGCTGCTGCTCCCTTGAGACCCTCTCACCTTGCCTGGGGGTCTCGCAGCAGCTCAGGCTTGCAGTGGACTGAAGCACAGGCTGGCAGCTGGCTGCCCCCGCTCTAGTGCCATTTCCTTCAAGAAATGCTGTTCTGGGGAGAGGTTTTCTGCTCTGCCCAACGCAGCCTGCTATGTCTGTGAGAATCTCTTCTGGAGGTAGCAATACTAACATTTTTTCAGAGGAACATCTCTCCCACCCCTTGCCACATACCTGGACTGCAGTTCTCCTGTCCCCTGCCTATGAACATTTTATGTTGCTTAAAGTTTTACCTCAAAAGACTTCTTGCTTCCCAGGCTGGTGTCCAAGCTGATGTTGGTCTGTCCTTTGCAGGTCTCCACCACTCATATCAGTGCTTCTATCGGCCAACAAGTTCTCAGAGCCTGCCACGCTCCTCTCTGCAGGCATTGCCACCTTCCTGACGAGTGATACCCAGCCTGATGGCACTGCTACCACCAGCCAAAACACCACATCTACGAAGAGGCCCAGGGTAAAGTTCTTTAGGAGCCCCAGCAAAGAGCTTAGGCAGAAGCCAGCTAATGCTATTGAGTCATTCTTCCAGAAGGCAGCAGAAAGGCAGCAGTCACAGGTGGTGGCAGCAACCAGTGGGCCTGCTGCTACCACAGCAGAGTCACCTGTGCCTGGCTCCCCAGAGCTCCAAGAGAGAGAAGACGATGGACTTGCCTCTGTGCAGCGTGACCTGGAGTCCCCTGTGAAGCAACATCCCAGAGATGGCAGCCCTACTTCTCCTTACAAGAGGCTTCCCTGTGAGAAGTCGCTGTCTGATGCTACACAAAAGCCCCTGACTCCACCCAGGACCTTTCTGAAATTAGAGCCAGCTGTAGAGGGAAACGAGCAGAATTTGCCACCCTCTCCTGAGCTTGCCCCACTCCCTCCTGCCTCGCCAGGGGACCAGCAGCGCTGTGAGAAGTGCGGCCAGCACGTGCTGATGTGGGAGTTCCCAGAGCACATGGACTACCACTTTGCTCTGGAGCTGCAAAGCTCCTTCCTGGAGCCCAGTGCTCCCACAGTTGCAGCAACAGCTCCCAGCCCAAAGGCTGCAGCTTCCAAGTCCCCTCTTGCCAAGGCAAAGAACAAGCCCAAACCTCCAGCAGGATCTAGTGCAAAACGACCCAGAGAAGGTGTGACAAGAACTTTAGATTTTTTCTTTAAGCGCTTATCTCCATAACTCCCTTGGAGTTTTTAGATACATGGTGTTTTTAAAGAAATGATGTTTTTAAATACAAAAGTTTTTATACTGCCTGTCATGTTTTAATGCAGAAGAGTCTAATAAATTATCTCTAAGCCAAGAGGAACTGGAACTCGTGAATTGCATACCATGCTAGATGTGCCCAGTTTAACTGGTGACAACTAGCTTGCCTCTGTCTGCTTGGTGCTACGAGAAGCTGCACTGTACTCTCACCTACACCTCCTGTCATGGGTATTTCCAGAGTGTCGCTGCTCAGGAATTCTGTTCCCACACCTTTCTGTTCCTACTGTAAATGCAGGCAATGTAAGCACAATGGCTTATCCCCAGAAATCTCCAGCCAAGCCTAGGCTTGAACCTCTATCCAGTCACTTAGCATGAAGCCTTCTCATCATAGCGATTCTCACTGGGCTGCAGTTGTAAGCCTCACCCTTACTGTATAACATATGTGGTAGTTTAGTTTCGTGCTTCCTCCTTCCTTCTCCACATGGAAGACATAGTTGTTTTTTTTTTATCTCCCCCTCCCCCCAGATTACTGTTATAAATGGTCTGGCAATTCCCTCTCTGTAGCAGTCCAATGCATGACGCTTATCACCAGCTCAGGAGTGCAGGAGAAAGACTGCTCCTGTCAACTAAGAGCTGAAGAAGCTGAAGCTGCTGCACCAGCACAATTTTTGTTAGGCTTTTTGAAATCTGAGCACTGATTCCTGGTAATTGGTATTGACACTTAAACAGGCCACTGCTACAGTCTCATGGAAGGGATGGAAAACCTGCCAGTCACAGAGCTCTCTGTAAAAGCTTTCCTCCATGGCAGAGAGTGTATAACCACATTTTCTTCCTCCTTCCCAGACTCTGTGTCACTCTACACACAACTTGATGACAGGTATCTCCTCTGCCAAATTACTTGTTGAGCTCTGGGCTGTAGTTCACGTCAGAGTGGCTGTCCCACCACTCCACAAATTGTAACAGAGCCAACAAAGCAGAATATCGTGGGGTGGACGAGCAGGCACTGAGAGGGTGAGACTGGCTCCAGGGCAAGAGATGTGCTCGCCTACACATCTAGACAATGAGCTGCTTGGAGCCCAGCAGCCTCTTCCAGAAGTGCTGCTGCCAATAATTTGAACTCCATTCTTGGTGCAGGGGGGAGGAATGTGCCACGTCAAGGCAGCACTGGGTGGGGTTTGGAAACACAGGTTGCAGAGAGTTTCATCAGCTGCTGGCTTCCCCTCCCTGAGCACAGGGAGAGAGGCTTTCAGGCAGCAGATAATGATGCAAAGTGCAGCTGTGTTTGCATGTGCTGTTTCTCCTTCTCTTCTGAACTCCACCATCCTACTTGCAGCTGTTGAACTGCTCTCCTTCCAGCAGACAGCCTGTGCTGGGAAGCTGCTGCACTGCTGTCAGTGAGAGTCTAACACTTGACAGCAGTTAGTGTCAGACTTCAGGAAGCACAAGAACCTCATTTTCGTGCGTGCAGCTCTGCTGGTAATCAGCAAAGGAAAGGAATTAGGGAGTCACTCCCATTAATGACAGCCCTCACGTTGCAAAGTGACAAATTTTCCAAAGTCCTCATGTGAAGAGAAACAGCAACCAGTCTGGCAGGGTTGCCTCACGCTCCTGTGACAGTGGCACGTCTCATTTCCTAAGCGTCTGGCAAGACTGGACTCTGCGGATGCCGCCACTTGACACAAAAACAAGTTGACAACGGGCAAATCCTTTCCATGACACAAGTCACCTCCACAGGGAAGCCCTTCTGCCTGTGCTTGTCCCAACTACCTGTTCTCATGGAGAGACGACAGTTGCAAACCCCTTGATAAGGTCAAAGCTATTTTAAAAACAAACCACCAGTTAGATGTGTGCCCTAAAAAGCATCCCTTTAATTAGGCTCTGGGGGAATTTGTGGCTGCAAGGAAGTACTTGCCACAGACTGTTCCGCCCACAACAGCCTGAAGTGCTGTGACGTGGCTGCCTGTCACCCCAGGCTGCACACCCAGGCATGCTCAGATAAGCCTGGGAGAGCATGGTTGTAAACAGCAGCGGGCGTGCATTCCTTCCACACCACAGGATGGTATTTATAGGGCTGAATGCAGGAACAGGAAGCTTAGGAAGGGGTGAGGGGCAGCCACCTTCAACCGTGACCCAGCTGCAAGGGCAGCGGGGCAAGAGCCCAGCTCCACCCTTGCTCATTGTACAACTCAGCCAGGAAGCTCAATAAAACATCTTTATTCTGTACATTTATATATAGATGCTTGAGGAAACAGGGACAACCCCCAGCACTAGAAAAATTCAAGACAACAAAACAGCAATTATGAAGAGCATGGCACCAAGAACAGTCATGCCATAGGTGGCAGGGATGAAGTGAGACCAGCCATTCGCTGTTTCAGAAAAGGTCACAGCACCCCATGCCCGCTTTGGGCCTTTGGAGTGTGGACTGCTCAGCCCCACAGGCACTGCCTGTGCCAGCAGCCCAGAAGCAGAACTAACTCGTGGTGGAACGGCTGTTTGGGTGTCCAAGTGCTATTGCAAGCCCTTGCCTTTCTCTTCAGTCAGGGCTGGCAGGCCACCACGCCATGCAACAGGGCTGGCTGAAGGCCTGTTGCTCTCAGCTGACACATTTGGTCTAACAGTCAACAACAAAACCAAAAGCCTATGTACAGCTCTACAGCCCCTGCTGCGAGCGGCCTGGAGTAACAGTCACACAGGGGAGCTGCATGACAAGTGGGTGGGAGACAAACGGGCTCCACTCTTTGTGCAGAGACTCTTTGCTGGCAATGCCAGCGCTCCTCTTCATAACAAACTCCAGTGGCAAGAAAAAGAAGTCTTCCTCGAGGAGAAACAGAAACAAAATCATTCCACTGTCCAATCACATCAAAACAACAGAAGTCACATGGTTCTGTGTTAGTCACACAGCCTGTCCTCCTCATACATTAAGGCAAGCATGTGAGGAGCAAGCTGGGCTAGGCCCCAGAACAACCACACCAGGGAGCCCACTGCAAACCACTGCTGCCAACGTGCAGGTGACAGCTGTGGCCAAACAACCATGGGAACAACCTGCACTCACCAGCACAGGCCCTGGCCATGCTCTGCTCCACAGAACGGCCTCCTGCCCAGCTGCAAACTCTGCCTTCACGCCATTACGTTGGGAGGCTGCGCTGCACGGAGCAGCCACGGCTTCCCAGGAATCAGCAACTGGGATGCTGAAGCAGTGTGTACATGTGAGTGGGGAACAGGATGCTTGTCCAACAGTAAGACACTCAAGATTGGTGTAATGCAAAACCAACACACAAATGGACACACAGCAGATTAAAGCCAACCAAAGTTAAAACGGTTAAAAAGTGTCCTGAACGCATTTTGAGAGGTTCAACCAAGCCCCTGCTGTGGGTAGCAGGGCCTCTTCCATCCCCTGCCCAGAGGGATGACTCAGGAGAAGACTGTTACCAACTGAGTGCTCAGAGTGCAGAAATGGGACCAGATCTTGTGTCAGAGACGGAAAAACATCCCTTCACTGCTAGTCTTCAAGGGTTCTGCTCCTCCCAACCAATAATTTCCAAACAATAAACAAAGCCAGAACTTGCCTGCCCAGGTCTGCAGTTGCCTCTGATCTATTCTGAAGGAGGGCAGAGTAACGAAAGCTGCAGGCGATGTGTAGAACGTGCTTAACTTGCCCCACGTATGGCACTGAATGCAAGAAACTCTCCCAGGCTCCATCCTAAAATGCGAAGGAAGGACATCCGTGCCAGAATGGGACAGCAGCAGCTCCAGGCACCACTCAGAGAGCCACAAGAGCTTCCATCCTTCTCCCTGGTTGCTGGTGAGTGGAGATCTCTCTGACCTAGTGGTAGTCAGAAGCTCAGCTGTCCAGGCCCCAGGGACTCCTCCAGGCCATTTTCTTTGGCAGTGATGGCTTGGAGGTCAGTGACATGCCCAATGCCTTTGGTGACTCCTTCACGGAAAAGCAGTTTGGCTCCAATCTTCAAGTATTCAGGATGCTTGATGAACCTGAAACGGACAACTGCCTTCTCTCCTGTCCGCAGCTTGTCCTGAAGATAAAAAGGGGAGAGCTTAGACCCATCTTCAATACTAATGCAAGAGAGGTGCATGTGGATGGTAAGATGAGGCAAATGAGCAGGTTGCCTCCCTTAGACTGTATGGCTTGAGCCCTTCCCATTATTATATGTGTAAGGGGAGACAGGAAGACACAAGGTCTGGAGAATGGAGAGTTTGCTTCCCTTCTCAGTCTTGCTCTAACAAGCCACAAGTCATGTGGCTTGTTTTTATGAGGAGGGAATTCTTTAACGTGTTGGGAAGAAAATCAACGAAATAGCAAGGATAAAGAGATGGAGTGTGCTCTTAGGAAAGGACAGAGCTACTCAAGACACCAGTAGCCCCCAGGTTTACGGGAACGCATGGTGGAATCCCAATAAGCCCCAAAGGGAGGTTTATCTTTCTCCCCTTTCCTTGCATGCTTACCTTTCCATGTATCTTCTCTACAATAGCAGTCTGTCGCACATTCCCCACGTGCACTGTCACCTGAAACCCTTTCCGGAAAGTCGTGGCATGGAACAACAGCACGATCTCAGCTTCAAACACTGAGCAGATGGTGGGGTTCATTTCTGGGCTCACCATAACCATACCCTGCACAAAAACCCAAAGCTCAGACCACTTACGGGCAGTCCTCTTGTTTCTGAACAACCCCCCAAACCCCAAACACTTCTCTACTTTGGGACTTGGGCTTGCATCCCATTCTCAGCCCTGTACTCATTCCATTTCATACCCTGGTCATTTCATTCCCTTCCAGCAAGTTTCCTGCACACATCTCTATTTTGTTCCCATGCTACAAGTGGGGGATCTGCAGGGAACCCTTCAGTCCCACTCACTGGACCAATGAGGAACCTGGCAAAAGGAGGACTCACCTTACGCAGCAGGGAGCGGTCAAAGGATCCAAGGGCCAGCGTGGCTGCCTGCCCAGCCCGCAGCACACGGCAGGCAGAGCGGTTGCGTTGGATACTGCACACTTTCAGCCGGAGGAACTTCCCGTCATCAGTGGGACCAACCACCAGGTTCTCCCCTTCTCGGCAGATCCCGCTGCCCAGGGTAGAAAAGCAGGACAGAGTTTGTCAGGAGACAAGGAAGTAATTTCACCCTCCAGGATCAACCTACACAAACTCCATGGGGCCCAGGAGGCAAGTGTCCTTGGACGCTTACCTGGGACCAGCTATCAGAGATTGCCTACAGTAAGAGCAAAAGCCACACTGTCACTCCTAAAAAGACCAAGTATCCCTCAGACAGGGGCCATTCCGTCTCCAGTGCTCTGCCATGCCACATCATGTCTGCTGGAGAATCTGCAAGCTACAAGTCATGTTCCTAATCCAGCAAGTTTAGAGCAGACTCTCTGCTTGCCACTACATGGCCAACAGTCTGCTCATGGCACCACCCAACACCCTGTAGGGCTTTACCCTCACTTGGCTCGGTCATCCGGCAGCAGTCAGGATGGAGCCTCGCACTGCTTCCATCTGCAGCGGATGCTCTAACCTTGTGGGAACTCCAGCAACCATTCACACCCAGTCTTGTCTGCCTGGTCTCACTTACCTCGACAGAGTTCCTCCCACAACAGTCCCCACCTCTGGCACAGTATAAATTTCATCGACCTGAAGCAAGGGAACAAGAATAAGCTGTTCAGACAGCTGCAAAATAGCACTCCAGAATGAGAACAAAGTGCCTGCCCCTTGCACCTTGGAGTGAGGTGAGCTCTCTGCTGGTCATCAGACACAGTCATGAGCTCCCATGAGCTACCTTCCCATTGGAGGAACCTCTGCCTTTTAAGTGACAATCTGAGAAACAATTTTATCCCTGAGATAGGCATCCTTGGTTAGGACAGAGACCAGCCTAGCAGGCTTTTTCAAGGACTGGGTCCTATATTTTAATGTCTCCCAATAGTCCAGGAGTTCACCACATTTAGAGGGAAAGTCTTATGAGGAGAGGCCGAGGGAGCTGGGGGTGTTTAGCCTGGAGGAGACTCAGGCAGGACCTCACCACTCTCTACAACTACCTGAAGGGAGGTTGTAGTCAGGTGGGGGTCAGGCTCTTCTCCCAGGCAACCAGTGACAGAACAAGAGAGCACGGCCTGAAACTGCATCAAGGGAGGTTTAGGTTGGATCTCAGGAAGCACTTCCTCACGGAGAGGGTGCTCAGGCACTGGGATGCACTGCCCAGGGAAGTGGTGGAGTCACCATCCCTGGAGGTGTTTAAGGAGAGGCTGGATGTGGCACTTAGTGCCACGGTCTGTGCGATGTGATGGTGTTGGGTCATAGGCTGGGCTTGATGATCTCAGAGGTCTTTTCCAGCCTCAACAATTCTGTGATTCTGTGATCTCTCCCCATGTTGTCCAGATCCCCTATATGTTTGTCACATGTCACAGAAATGAGTGCAGACACTGAAAACAAACCACCCTTACGCACCTGAAACTCTGTGAGTTGCTGCATTAGTTCTTCCTGCTCTTTACTGTTGGTCAGTGGAGGGAGGATGTTGAGGAAGACTTTTAAGAGATCCAGGTTCTCCCCAGAAACACTGGACAGTGTGAAGATTGGGGTGATGCTGTCAGACACAAATAGACAGGAATAAGCAGAAAGGCAGAGTGCAGGTGCAAAAGGTGGTTGGGATTTTGAATCTATTGAGTCCAGCAAGAGGACAGAGACTACAGTGATAAATGGTTGGAGGAGGAGGGCACATAGGCTAGGTACAACTCTGCAGTAACCTCTGCCTCAGTGGTTGGTTGAGGCACCAGTCCCCTGCCAACCCACACTTCTGTCACGGAGAAGTAGCTCCAGTGCAGTCTCAGGCATCTGATGCTCCCAGAGCCTAGAAAAAGTCCTGAGAGGGGAAAATGCTTTCATGGAGAATGTAAAGGTAGGAAACTTGACAAAAGGCCAAGATGTTCAAGATATAGTTGTTTCCCCTGTGGTCACCCTTCCCTGGCTCCGCACAGCAGCCCAGTCTGAATTGCCTGCAGCGAGTAGAGGGAAGGAACAGCCCCTTACTTGGGAGACTGTGCAAACTGCTGCGCTGCTGTAACAGCATCGTCATCTGAGTTCACGAGCAAGGGGAGCTTGTTGCAGCCTGGCTGCTTCAGGATTCGCTCCAGCTGCTTCACTGTCCGTTCCACGGTGGCTTTAGAACACAAGTCAACTTTGCTGATGACAATGAAGAAGGGGACCTTAAGGGCCATGGCCAAGCCCAAGTGTTCTCGCGTTGTGCCAGCTGCAGGAGATAAGTGAGAATACAGGTGCAGTAGTAGTCATCATTGCTGCTTTCTTACGTGACAGCTATGTCTCCTGGCTCTCCTACAGACCCACTCTAGGGGTTTCACCCTGCTTAGTTCATCAGGCAATGGAAATGCAAAATTATTATTTTAAACAAAACCAAACACAAGTCCAGAAAAATAAACACCACCATTAATGTTTGTGACTGATTTGTTTGCTTCAGAAAGATGCAGTAGTTTTCATTCTTGGGCTAGTGTTTGCCAGAAAACAGCCACAAAAACATCAAGGAAAGATGTGGGAGAACTCCAGCTGCCTTTTTACAAGGCTTCAGGATTCAGCACCCCTAAGAATACTTCAAAGTTGTTATTTTTATTTTTCTGCTTGCAAACACAGCCTCAAATTCCAAAGCTTCTCTGTCCAGGGTACAGCTGAATGCAGTATACAGCTGGTAAGAAGATCCCAGCTCTGCTCCCCTCCCAGGCACTCATAGGCACTGGCTTAGAAGAAATCAGAGTAGGCTTCCAGACTAATATTTTTTTCTGCCAGCTGTTCCTAGCTAACAAAGGCCTAATCCCCTCATTTTCCATTTCTCTTCACACACTGCTGTCAATCCAGGCAGGCAGGGCAACACTCACCAATGCCGGTGTTGGCACTAACCACCAGCATTGCAAAGTCTGGGCAGTAGCTGGTGAGGCCAAAGATGGTTGTTTTCAGATACTTGTGGTGGCCAGCAAGGTCAATGAAAGTGATCATTTTGGAAGAACTCTCACAGATCTCTTCTGCTGTTCGGGAGTCACTGTAATTTACCACCTGAGGAACATAAAGACTCAGTGAGAGAAGCCCCAGTGGGCAAGTGAAGAAAACCCAGCTCTTATCTATCCCCTTTGACCTCCTAATTAGTGAAAATAGATCATTCACCACGGATGAAAGAACCAACGTCTGTTGCAAACGGACAAGTAGCACTCAGGTTAAGGGACACAGAGCTACAGGAGACAGAGCAGTGCCACCTCTTTCCTCATGTCCCACTCACAGTTTTAACAGGAGGGCAGTCCTCCAGCTTTCTGAGTTTGGCAGCTCACTCTCTCACCTCTCCTTTGCTGTTGAAGCCGAGGATCTCAAAGCTGATGCTTGATGTTCTTCCTGACTGGATTTCATGGAGATGCCGAAAGAGGTTGAGGCGTGCTCTGCCCCGCCCGTTGTCCAGCTCTCCTTGTGTTAGGACACCCAGCAGGGTTGACTTCCCTGAGTCCACATTCCCCAGCACAGCTACTCGCAGGTCTAAGAACTACAGGAAGAACAACAGAGAAAATATGAAACTTAACTGCTGCTGTGCTGGGTGTGCATGAACACTACATGGCAGTGAAGATACACCTCAGAGAGTTTCCTTCCACGATGGACACGGTGCAGTGTAATCTTGCTCAGATTCTGCTCTTGCTTGCAGCAAACCACTGCCCAGGAGTTGTGATACACTCTCTAGAGTTGTGGTCTGACACATCAGGCTTTGGTATCACAAAAAAGGCCATTTGCTGCAGCAGAACCTCTTGTTTGCACACTGGCCTGCATCAGAACTGTTGCCTAGAAGTGAAATAATTTCTCACCACTGATCCGGGCAATCTCCCCTACTGGTATCTGCCTTAACCACAATCTTTGAGATGAAAAGCATTGTAATTAAGCCTCCCTCTGGCAGCTCTTTAAAGCATCTGCTCTGGGCCAATCTATGACAAAGTGCCTCTAGGGTTTGGGCTCCCATCCCAAAAGGAAGCTGCTTGTGTGAAGCCTCTAAGTCCTCAGGAGGAGAGAATGGCCAAATCGCAGGTCCTTACCTGCTGGTTGTCAGGCACCTTTCGGACAAGCACCTCCGTTATCTTCCTTGGAACGTCGCTGTCATAATCGACCTCCCTTTCCCGCAGCACTGTAATGTCAGCGCCAACCCTGCCACGAGCACAAAAGGACAAAGTGAGACACGCTTGTACTCAGCAGCTCTCACACCTCTAGGATCACAGCTGGCAAACTGGCATGAAAGCTGGAGAAGAAGCCTTAAGCTTCCAGCCGATATAACAATATAACTGCCCTAATATTTCCAGAGCCTCATGATGAGGGCCTTTCAGCCATACAGAGGCTTTGTAGAATGGAGCCACAGGCTCCTCAGCCGACTCCTGGGGCTAAGCCTCTCTACTGCTGGAAGCTGTTTCTGCCTCCAAGTCTTGTAGATGAAAGGGAACACATACTTCTCTGCCATACGGCGCAGGGTCTTGAGCGAGGCACGCATCTCCTCCTCTGAGAGGCCCACCAGCAGGCCGTTGTCCTCCACACCGATCTGATAGACGGCCTCACCTCGGCCTTCCTGTAGTCGCCACTTCATCTGTGTCACCAGGTGCTCAAAGCGATATTGCGAGGGATTCACTAGCTTTAGCTGTTTAACAGAGGGAGTAATTACAGTCTGGATGCAGAGGGAATCCCATTTGCTCAAGCCAGCAACTCCCTAACTCAACATCATGAAGCAATGCCCCCAACTCTGACCCATCTCTAGAAAACACAGCCCATGTCAGCATCTCCACAGAAGCCATACAACAGGTGAGAAAAGGTTTCACACAGGTGCACATATATATGCTAGAAGAACTTTTCTGCATCTTGCCAAAGGGATCTGTACCCTGCCTGCTGTGGGGTAAAGACAGGACTGTGGGACCTATCTGTGACACAGGAGCCAAGTAAGTGCAAATGGCAAAACAGCCACAAAAATGTGACAAACTGTTATCGGGGACACCTGCAGCTCTCTCTCTTAAAAAGAAGATTTCAGGAAGAATAGTGGGTCTTATGTTCTTAAACAAATTCTCAAAAATGAATACTGAGTTCAAACTCTTCTAGCTCGGCATACTGTGTATTGCTAGGCACGGAGAGACACCGATGACTAATAGTTCAGTGATAGTTCAGTCTGAATGGATAGTTCAGATAGTACAGTGTCCACTTTTCTGTCCCTTCCTTGGACATGTGCTCCATACGCTGTCTTTGGTAAAGTTACTCACTGCAAAATAATGCTCTGGGACGAAGACCTCAAAAGGCTCACCTTGTACTCGATGTTCCCATCTTCAGCCTGGTCAGAGAATGAAACAAGACAGAAAAGTTAGATGCTATGCCAGCAGGGACTTCTATAGGCATCAGCTGCCCAGATACTCTCCAGCTCATGCTGACAGTTTCAGAAAGAGGGAAAGTGGCAGAAACATACTGTTGGGTCACAGCCTCTTCTGCCATTCATTCCTGCATTCAACTAGAACTTACTTTAGGTTTGTTTCTGCTGTTTGCATCCCACATCATGAAAACCAGAGGACAAAACTAGAGAGGGACACAGTGGGTAATACTATTTTGAGGGGAATTTTTTATTGCCAGTAAAGAATAGGGCCAGTCTAATGGTTACAGAGAGAGTTCCAGTTTCAAACATGCCAGCAGATGATTAAAACTCTTCCCCTTCATGCATCCATGACCCACAATGCCACTCACAGCATCCCACTCCCACTCTGTCCAGCAGCTTCCATCCATCCAATGCGCATTGGAACAGGGGACTGGGAACAACAGTCGCTGCCTCCTCTCCTGCACACTGACACTCTCAGTTAGTTTTTCTACTACTCGATTAGTTTTTCACTGACTCCTTTCCCTGTCCTTGCTATCTTCTCTCTGCAAGAGAGCAGCACTGCAGACATAAGGAAGCCACTGACTTCTTTGCAGCACAGCATGCTGGCCACTGCCACTGGTTCTAGACAACCAGACCTGATCAGGATTGTCTGTACTCAATGTGCTCAGAAGAATTTTCTCAGGAAGGGCTGTTGCCAGCCTGGGCTGCCACAGAAAGATCGGCGTACTCATCAAGCTCACTCCAACCACAACAGGCTCCAGATTTCCAAACAGAACACATAGCCAACATGGAAATAATTTTCCCACTGATTCGATCTAAAGATTGCTGAGAATGGGCTGATGCCTTCAGGAAGCCAAGTGCTCTGGCAAACTAAATAGGGCTGCCAACACTAAATGCTTCCTCCTCCTCTGGACACAGATTTGCATGTCAAGAGAGGCAACAGCCCTCTCCTTGCCTTCTAGCCCAGCTCCTAACCACAGCGGTGCTTATGGTGGCAGGACGCCAACAGGAGGAAGTTCTGAACTGTCAGCTCAGCTCCTGAGCAGCAGAGCTACGCAGCGAAGAAAGGGTACTTGCAGAAAGTTTTTCTGTCTTACCACCTACCAACTTTTCGGCCCTAAGAAAACACATTCACATATTGCACTATCGTCTAAATAAGGGAGTGGGTCTCTTTCACGGCAGCTGAGACTAGAAAAGCAACAAGCCTCGACTTGCTGGGCCACACACCGTAAAGGGTAGCCAGGGAGAGCAAGCTGTGCTGAAACGACAGGGGGCTGCCCAGCCTCCAACTGAAAGGAACAAAAACTAAAATGCGGCTGCAGGGGACAAGCCTGACTGCGGAGAAGATCTAACAGCAGCAAAGTGTTGTTTTCCCTTCTTGCCAAGAGTCACAGCCCTGCCTTGTGGAGGAATTGCTCCCTCCCAGCACAGGCTCTCATATATTTCACAGAAGGCTCACTGAGAGGAGCCAAGCAATTGACTCTGGGGCAACGTAACGCTCCCCACAGCAACAGTCCTATCAGTGCCATGCCGACTGCCTGAACTAACCAACACACTCACTTACTACCAATGTCATTTCTTCCTGCTGCAAGAGGCGAGTGCCTCACACTCTGCCAGGACCATCTGCACCTCCACGTAAGAAAACAGTCGCCAAATTAGCCGGGAAGGGAGTTACTAGAACCTGCTGAGCGATGTCTATGAGTTTGGCAGCTGGCAAGCGCCTAACACCCACCAGACTGGCTCTCAGGGAGCGATGTGGACGAGATGCTCGGGACTATGAGTTGAGCGAAGCTTTTTATTTCCGAAGTTGTTCAGTTCCCTGACGGCACAGCACCCGCGGACGGACGCCGGGCAGCGAGACACCACTAATGGGCGGGGT